ACACTATAAATATCACTGTTATCCATACCGATAACAACAAGACACTATAAATATCACTGTTATCCATACCGATAAAAACAAGACACTGTAAATATCACTGTTATCCATACCGATAACAACAAGGCATGTTCAAATGCTATGAAGAATAATTGGGTTTGGTATGTAATAAATTCTCTTTTAAAAGCACGAAAATTCATCACTACGTAAAAATAGTTCTTACGTAAAAAATAAAAATTAAATGTTTTCTCTTTGGTTACTAGATATCCCATTTCTACTTGCCAGCCCCGTACAGTGACAACTGTAGTGATTCTGTTATTCTGAATCCAGCTGATTCTCGACAGAAAGGAGGCTACACAGAAGAGGTCAGAGAATACTATTATGGAAGTTTAAAAGACAGTTTTTTTAATCACCATGCTTTTATTTTTCCTCTACTCTCATATATATATACACGGAAATATTGCCCAAGACCCGCCTGATCAGTAAGTTTGACTGACAGGAAATAAAAAATATATATATACTTTTACTGTACGTGCATCTTAACCCTGGTTTCAAAGAATACTCCTGGTTGTGTTTTGTAGAACTAAATAGAGGGAAATTTATTTAATAAATCAATTCACGATGTGGTTTCTTGTTAGTGATTTCAGAACAAAAAAGTATCGTCATCATTTTTGATACTAATATCCTGCAGGAAATCAATGGATCGTAATATCTATATCCACGATAGCAAGAAACATTAAGGAACAAAATAATTTGGTAAATGATCAGGTCTCTTTGATATCTATATATAACAGAGGGAGTGGAAACCTGATTTCATAATCGCTAGAATAAAGACCCTAAAGGTTCTTTGGAGTTGTGTTTTAAGATTATTGTTTTTTTTATTAGCGATGTAGGGAAAATTGTCGACAAAAGACCATCAGGGAGAAATGTGGGTGTGCCTTGCCATTTTTCCAAAAGGATCCAGGAACTGAAAACTGTGTCTTTAGCACCAAATATCAAGCATTTGGTAAGTGGAATTCTTCAATGTTAAAAATAGGGCATTTGGGAAGTGGAATTCTTCAATGATAAACGTAGGGCATTTGGGAAGTGGAATTCTTCAATGTTAAAAATAGGGCATCTGGGAAGTGGAATTGTTCAATGATAAAAAATAGGGCATTTGGTAAGTGGAATTCTTCAATGTTAAAATAGGGCATTTGGGAAGTGGAATGATTCAATGATAAACGTAGGACATTTGGGAAGTGGAATTATTCAATGTTAAAAATAGGGCATTTGGGAAGTGGAATTAGTCAATGATAAACATAGGGCATCTGAGAAGTGGAATTCTTCAATGTTAAAATAGGGCATTTGGCAAATGGAATTATTCAATGATAAACATAGGGCATCTGGGAAGTGGAATTCTTCATTGTTAAAAATAGGGCATTTGGTAAGTGGAATTCTTCATTGTTAAAAATAGGGCATCTGGGAAGTGGAAATGTGCACGAGTATCCAAGAAAGGTCTTACCTGGTATTTCTTAAACCTACCAATAATTGAAGTTCAATTTCACCCACTTTATAAATTATAGGTTTATTTCATATGATCTACAGGCGATATTAACGCCCTCTGGCAATTTTACACAGTGATATTATACGATAAGTGACATCATCATGATATATATTTTTATCGAGTAAAGAGAGCCATATTTTTTACTTGAACTTCTGTTTGTATTTTTTTTATTTTGCTTACAGCGACCTCTATTTTCAGATACCTGTATTAAAAATGTGGAGCCTCGGTGTGATTGTCAACGCCCATGTTAGTGAGTAACATCCAATTCAATTTAAAGTCCCTGGTATGTTCCAATTTTAAATTCGAATTTTGTGAAGCTATTATGGCTTGTTGTTGACAATAAAAATTGGGTTTGGAGTAAGTAAACCCATTGATAAACAATTTATTTTAATTTAACTTTAATCTATCTAATTTAACATTTATTTATTTATATAAAATATATCATGGTCAAAATACGATCATTTATTTGTTTATTTTTTCAGTAAGGTCCATTACAGTACAACCATTTCTTCGTCAAACTGGCCTGGCGGTGAACTTGTAAGTTTTAGGTGTTTGCTAAAAATTTGTTGTATTATATATATTACTATCAGATGTCCGATGAATTTTCTTTAAAACAGTTATGCACAAACGTAAAATATGCAGTCAGCCCAATCTTTTGGAACATAGTGTATATGCAATATGATTGTCTAGTGGACCATTAGTAGTTTCGTATGGTGTTTCTCACACCTCCAAATTCGGACACCGGGTGAGTATGTTTCGGTGTGACGGAGATTCGAACCCGTGACTCTCAGATTAGAAGTCGAGTGCCCTAGCCACTTGGCCATGCCGGGCCAGTGGACCATTACATTGCCCTTGTTTTTGAGCAAAGTTACAAATGGCTTCCGAGTGAATTATAATAACTAACTGAGAGAATAATAAAATCAAATAAGTGTACCAATCATCGTTTTAAGATAATTCAGAGAAGATACATGCATTCAACTATTTAGATATAAGTTTCCCTAGGTATATTTTTTTTCACAAAATTTAAAAGATTATGGCTAAGGAGAGGAATGGGACCTCACCAAGCTCATCCCTTCGTTGTGCGTATGTGCTTCAATAAACATAAAACAAATTATAGGATAACGGTCATAGTTTTAATTTATGTCTGTTATTTGGCTTTGATATATTTTGAAACTTTGATTATAAAAGGTTTTAATACTTATAACTAAAACCTTTACATAATAGTTCCTCTCCCTATTGACCCAAGTTATGCAAATAAACAGAAACATACATATCTATAGTGTTTTAAGCCCATTTAACTTTTATATGGTGAACTAAAACAGACTCAAAACATCGTAAATATTTTATACACTTCACCATTATAATTGGCCCAATGGTATTTCTTTGGTTTGCTGACCCCAAGCTGTGCTGATGACCCTTGAATTGGCGAAACTGCAGTCCACAGCAAAGGATACAGCCAATCAAGGAATGCACTAAGCCTATACGTTACAGATTCTGTTTTCAACTTTACCTCTGGTGATAAAGAAAAGAAATATTTAACATATGTATAAAAACATGAACAGTTTTGTCCCAGCTCTTATTTTAATGTTTTGATTAATAACCAGGAAAATAATACATATTTAACCAAGAATCGATAATACGCAGATTTTCCAAAGTAATTGTTTGTTTGTTTGTTTGAAGTTAAGCACAAAGCTACACAATGGGCTATCTGTGCTCTGCCCACCACGGGTATCGAAACCCGGATTCTAGCGTTGTAAGTCCTCAGACATACAGTTGTGCCACTGGGGGGGGGGGGCTCCAAAGTAATAAGAATGGCAGTTTTTATGATGCTTCCAGAGTAGTTACTTAAACTATGACAGAAAGAAATCCAATAGTGAAACAGGACGTGTAAGTAACTTATCTAAAAAAAAACAAAAAACTTGTGAATATTTAAACTCACCTATAATGTTAAAAACAAGCGCAAAGTTTCATCTTTTGTTATACCTTCTAGATGCAAATTAGGTTTCAGTGTAACTTAGAAAGAATACTGGTTGAACCGTGGTGTATCGTTTTATAAATATTTTATTCTAGGTTCCGACGTTATTGTCAGAGACACAAGAAACAATAAATATCGCTCCCCCGTAAGTGGCTTGTTTTGCAATACAGTAAAACAATAAAGGAAAGCTAAACACGATTAACCATTTTTGGCATTTTGGATGTCGTGTAAAGACTGGTCAATAACATGATATTAATTCAGTACTTGTCATATTGAAGATGTGTTGTTCTGTATGTTACTAAGTAACACAATTGGTGAAATATAAGCTTACTTTGTAAGTAAACGTAGTTATATGTCTTCCCCAGAACGATTTTCCCATCACCATCATTTGACAAATAAGCTGACGATAATCTCGAGTGAGATTCACGCTGTTTTAATTAATTCACAATACTTTTGTTGAAATGTTCTCTTTATAAACAGTGTGTGTGGGTTTTTTTATCACTAGTATCAAGTTTTACTTTCAGAAGGATATATCTTTTGTGCATAATAGTAAATCCTTGTACGTTTCGTTACCAGAGTTGAAGAGATCCAATTTCACTGAATAATAAAACAGGCTTCATATTCTGTGGAAATTTACTAGGTTTGGTTTATGGTAACTGGAAATAAAAAGTTTACATGCATATCATACCATAGGCAAAACTTCGATCTTCCTGGAGTGGTATACTATTAAATATTTATGTAGTGTTTTGTTTTATCAGTATGGCTAACAGTGGTATCTGTAGCGTTTTGTTTTTATCAGTATGGCTAACAGTGGTATCAGGATAAAAGTGATATTTATAGTGTCTTGTTTTTATCGGTATGGATAACAGTGATATTTACAGTGTCTTGTTTTTATCGGTAAGGATAACAGTGATATTTATAGTGTATACCTTTTGGATGGCAATTGAAGTTTTGACACCAGGAGTGCATAATTCTTCTCGTGATTCATGTCATGCGCACGTTCTACTGACGTCACGACAGTACAAATTGCAACGTTAAGCGTCCCTTACGTGACGAAATTTTGGTGTCTGACAGACAACACACCACTGTATAGTGGTGATAGTGGTCACCACAGATAACCCCTCCAAGCGGCCTTCGGCCCTCTTTCGGGGAAAATAAATAATAAACAGACTTAAGTACTACCACATGTTATTTCTCGTTATTATTAGGTCTTAATCTCGAACTCAATCTGGAAGTAAATGAAGTCTTTAGTCGGAGTGTCGGAGCACGTGTGGTTATTCATCCTCCACATTTAGTGCCTAACCCTGACACAGAAGGAATTGACGTTCCCCATATGCTACAACACAGCATGACATATGAACTTCAAAAGCAAGAAATATAATATTTGTTACCCGTAATATTGATTTTATTTAATCTTGAAACAGAACACTTTCGGATACCCTGCGCACATACATCTAGTAACAATCATTTGACGAGTATCCTGCGCAAGTACATCTGGTAAAAATAATTTAATTGATATTTCAGACAGATTGCAAACTGAATAATCCTTAAGAAACGAAACTTGTAAACCAGTCTGACAATAATAGGAATTATAATACGTGACGGTTATTGAAGTTTTTAGTCCTAAGAAAGTGGAATACATTTAGCTAAGAAACGAAACTTGTAAACCAGTCTGACAATAATAGGAATTATAATACGTGACGGTTATTGAAGTTTTTAGTCCTAAGAAAGTGGAATACATTTAGCTAAGAAACGAAACTTGTAAACCAGTCTGACAATAATATGAATTATAATACGTGACGGTTATTGAAGCTTTTAGTCCTAAGAAAGTCGAATACATTTAGCTAAGAAACGAAACTTGTAAATCAGTCTGACAATAATAGGAATTATAATACGTGA